TTAGTTAATATTTACTGCCCAAATAAAAACCCAGTAACTTTCCTGGAGGATATGTTAAGAAAAATCTCTGAATATAAACGAGGCAATCTGGTTGTGGCAAGAGATCTAAATGTGTGTATAGGTCTGGATTTGCATGCGTCAACTGGTACAATGAGAGAAGGGGGTAGGTGTCAGGACTCCAGGGTATGACAAGAGGTATGTGACTGACGCAGGGAAATGCAGGCTTCAGATAAGTTATAAACAATATAATTTATTAAAGACTAACAATACATAAACGCAGTGCAATACTAAAACATAACACAGTGCAACCAAACCAAACCACCCACAGATAACAATACATACAATGCAAGCGTCGTCAGGCAGGCCGGGTCAATAACAAATGGGCAGGTAGGAACAGGAGGAGCAGGCAGAGAGTAGTCAGGTCACGAGCCGGGTACAGCAACTAACAGGAGGTAGGTACAGGGGGTCAGGCAGAGAATGGTCGGGGTCACAAGCCAGGGATCAGAGCAGGAGAAGTCAGCAGAGGTCAGGATCAAGCAGGGTCAGCAACGAATCAGACAGAGACAGGGACAGGAATGCAGGAACAGGATAGAGGGCCCAGGAAAAACACACACACCAAGGCAAAGACTGCAGGTCTGGCCATCACTTAAATACACCTGCATAAGCAGTTTCAGGTGTTTGGCTGGCTGCAGGGTTGGGTCTCTGATTGCTGGGAGCACCCGCTGGCCAGCCCTGGTACTGCAGCCCACAAGGCAGGTGAGTCCCACCATTACTGGCAAGTCCATTCCTGACAGTAGGAAATTAAAATTTTTGAAGAGGTTATTATACCAAGGCCAATTGTCAGATACCTGGAGAGCAAAACATCCAAGAGAAAGAGATTATATCTTCTCTCCAGTACACAGAACATACTCAAGATTGGATTATATATTGCTTGATCACAGACAATTGGAGTTGTTGGTTAACTCCAAATTTGAAGTTATATCTTTTTCTGATCATGCTCCTGTCACGGCAAGACTTCAGGTTGGTATAGAGCTAGGTAAAATAAACACGTGGAGACTAAATGAGACACTCATACAAGATCCTGAAACAGTGAAAAAGATAAGGCAGGAAACTGAACAATTTTTTGAGTTTAATGAGACCAAGGAGGTGTTGTTAACCACAGAGTGGGAAGCTCATAAGGCATATATTAGAGGAATACTGATAGCGATAGGGTTAAAATAAAAGAAAGAAAGGGGGAAAAAAATAAAGAAGGTGACGAAAGAGTTATACAGATTGGGGCAGCTACATAAAAGGAATGGAGGTATGGACATACATCAGAAGATAACCTTAAAATAGAAGAATTAAAATATGTTACGGAATAGGAGGTGAGGAGGATATTAACAGGGTATCAAAAGAAAAATATCAGTGGGGGAAAATACCCAGAAAATATTTAATGAGGAAGTTAAAAGAAAAGAAAATCCAAAAATGTTATTGATAAAATCCAAACAGATAAAGGAGAAAGTGTTTATTCCACCACTGATATTGCTAATAGGTTCCAAGAATATTATAGTAGGTTATATAATGTGAGTTCCAGAAATCAAAAAGAAAGGGATGAAGATATGAAGAGAAAGAGGCAGAAATATTTAGAGGAGGTGGAGATGCCGAGAATAGCAGAAGATAAATTAGTTGTCTTGGAGAGAATTATAACCCTGGAGAAAGTTAATCTGGCCCTGAAGAACACGGCCTCAGGAAAGAGTCCTGGTCTGAATGGATTCACTGTAGGTTATCTTAAAAAATTTAGAGATCTTCTGGTTCCTAAAATGTGCGGTTATATGAATGCAATAGGAGAGGGGGTGCAAATGAGGGAAGAATCACTGCAAGCACATATAACTATTATACTCAAAGAGGGAAAGTTCACAGTGTGCCAGCTATAGACCCATATCCCTATTAAATGCTGACACAAATGTATATGCTAAGGTCTTAGCAATTAGAATGAAGGAGCTGATACCAGAGTGGATACACCTGGATCAGGTAGGATTTATTCCGAGAAGAGAGGGACGGGATAACAGTCTCTGATCTTTGCTTCTTTTACAAAAAGCAAAGAGGGAGAAGCAGCCGACAATATTCCTGTCTATAGATGCCGAGAAGGCTTTTGATAGGGTTGACTGTGGTTCTATGTTCAATACGTAGAAGCCTTGGGACTAGGGCCCAAAATGCTGAATTTGATAAAAGGGCTATATAATAGACCTATGGCGGCGGTAAAAGTTAATGGCTCCCTCTCTCAATCACTTAAGATGTACAATGGTACGAGACAGGGATGTCCACTGTCTCCACTCTTGTTTGTTTTATCATTAGAACCTATCTTAGCAAGGGTCAGATGGAGTGTAGATATAGGAGGAATAAATATACGGTATGTGGAGAACAAGGTAGCAGCATACACAGATGAAATGTTATTTTATGTAACAATTCCTAGATTAACTTTGGCTAATTTAATGAGATTATATTGAACGAATAGAGCGAGCTGTCAAATTTGAAAATAAACCCCACAAAATCAGAGGTTTTAAATATCAACATTCCAAAGCAAGAGAAGCTGAGTCTTCAAAAAGAGTTTCCATTCACTGGGAGGGAAAAGGAAAAAGGCTACCTGGAAATAAAATGAATGCCCTCAATAAAAAACTTATATCAGGCAAATTACATCCCTTTAATAAATTATATAAAAGATGAGCTGGGGAATCTTTCATAGGGAGGAGCCTCTTGAGTAGGTCATATAAATTGGGTAAAGGTGGTGATATTCCCAAAAATTCTTTATAAGTTTCATATGCTTCCAATAAGCCTGCCAGGGTCCTTTTTTGCGGTAATAAAGAAATTGAATCTTAGGTTTATATGGGCTAATAAGAAACCAAGAATGAGATATGACGTTTTGTGTAGGGTGAAAAGGAATGGGGAATTGGGGTTGCCTAATTTTAGGAAATATTATTTAGTGGTATTATTAACATGAATAGTAGATTGGACATTTAATTCACTAGGGAAAGGATGGGTAAACATGGAAGGAACACTAAGTAAGGCACAATTAGGGAAGATTGTATGGATTCCACATAAATTTCATACACTAGATGAGAATATCAGTCCTTTAACAAAAAAAGTGTTAAATGTCTGAGATAGAATTTATAAGCAGAAAGGATGGAAATATAATTCCGTGCTCATTCCTATGGTGGGTACTGAGTTTTTCCCTCCAGGTAAAAATATAATTTTTGGTAAAAGGATTAAAGATAAAAATGCCTGTTTGAAGGATATTTTGATTAAGGGGAATTTATACACATTTCAAGAGTTTAGGAAAAAAAGTGATTTATTTTTCACATTAGATGAGTGGCGATATGGACAGTTAGGACATTTTGCTGCATCTCTCCCTCATCCACTGAGAACTGAGGAGAATATGTATCCATTTGAAAAACTGCTGAATGCTAATACAGCCCTGAAACAAGCTACCTCTAGAATTTATGTTTCTTGACATGGAGGGATCCGATCCTCCTGGGATCTTGGAAAAATGGGAAGGGGAGCTTGGAACAAAACTGAAGGAACAACAAAGTGATAACATATTTAAATTAACACATTAGGTGACAAATATATGAGCACGGTAGAAATGAACTATAAATGTTTGTTGAGATGGTATATTACACCGAGTGTGGCACATAAGAGGCAAGCAGCTCTTTCACCTTTTATGTTGGAGAGGTTGTGGGAATAAGGGTACAATGACACACATATGGTGGGATTGCCCAAAAATACAGGGTTTTTGGAAGGAAATAATTCATGGTATAGAGGAAATTAGTGGGACTATTATACTAAGAGACCCATGGAAGTGTATATTTTATCTTGAGTTTGCAGGTAAACAGGGTAAAAAGAGGTTGCTTTACCACTTAATTAGTGCGGCCAAGGGTTTGATCCCCAGGTTGAGGCAAGCTCTGGAGCCACCAAGAATAATTGATTGGTTAAACAGAGTGGAAAAAATTTTTAGACGGAGGAGCTATGTCATTTGGAGGAAGATAAAGAGGAAGAACTTAGGAAAACGTGGGGTTGCTGGTTAGATTATAAAACATCTAGGAGATACTTGGAACAGGTTAGGAGTGCAGGGGAAAAAAGCTTGGGGAGAGCATGATGGAAAATGTAAAAAAATGGGTGTAAGAAGGAAAGGGACTCGATAATGACAGATAAATATAAGAGGAGTAGAAGTTAGTTAATTGGACCTAGACAGGGGTGGTTTGGGGAGGTAGTGGGAAGTAGGTTGGGTGATAAGTAGTTGTAAAATGTGATTGTACTGGTGATTGTGAATTATAACGGGTTTTTATATGTTTTTGTATTGGAAAAGTTAACAATAAAAATGTATAATAAAAAAAGCAAACTCACCTATCCATCCAAGTCTCCATACTTTATTTTCCTGAGAAATCATTTTGAAAAATACCCCCTGGAATATCTGGCAGTGGCCATCTTCAGTAAAGGCAGATGATTCATGTATCATTTACTTCCATCTGCCCTTAGCTCAGCCAAGATCCCTCCCTCCCCTCCTGAAGACGGCTGAGGCCATCCTCATACAAGATTCCACGTGCAGTTAGAGTGGCATCCTTCTCACATCGCGCTTACTAGACTGGATATTATTGTGAACATCGCTCTCCCTTCATTCCAGTGAGGTGATCATTCAGCTCCAGCTTGGAGCAGCGCCATCACGCTACACATATCGTTTTACAACCCCATCCCCTGTTCAGTGAGCAGGGAGCTGACTCTGGAAATAATAATTCTATGGAATGGAGCAGTATTGCTAAACTGGAAAGTAGCGGTATGATCTTACAGACTATCACAAGTGTGGCCAAATTTACAAATCCTTAGGCAGGTAAACTATAAACATATTTAGAGTTATTTCATGTGTATTATTATTATATGTGTTTAACTGTTTGCCTGGAGTTCCACTTTAATGTAACCAAACTGAAATTCAGACCATTCAGCATTGTTCATTGCAATCTTTTTTAAAGTTGTCAGGTCACCAGCTACTTATGCAAGCAGTCGACAGATAACCAGGAGTAATCCAGGTAAGAAAAATAATTAAAGCTTACAAGTAGATATACACCCCCAAATAGTTCTAAAATATCAAATTGATAGTTATAAAGACCTGAATACAGCAATCGACTAATGTAGCTAAGACACATTCCCATATGATTGCACAAAGAACTTCATTAGCACATTGAGTAATCCCTCTGCTCTCTGCTCCTGTCAGCAATGTCTCTGCACAGTTACTCCTGCTGTTGCCCCTTCCTGTCCCACTTTGACTTTACAATGGATTACAGGAGGTTTAGCTTTAATAGAAATGTAAACCTTCACAATGTACTTTATTTTCTCTGTTTTGGTCTGTTAAATACACAATGAAGCATTTTGTTATGTTTGTTCAATAAGTGCAGTAAAAGTACATGTTGATCCTGCCAGAAATTCAGAAATGTAAGCACTGTTGTCAGCCCAACCCTGTACAGTTTTCCTCTTTCTCCTACTAGTGATTAGAGATGAGGTTAAAGTTAGCTGCTACTATAGTTTGACGCAAAGGCAATTCCTTTGGGTTTGCATTTTTTGTGCACTTTAACTGCATGGCCTTTAAACTAAGACCAGCAGGCTTAGAAGAACCAATAAAGGGGGCCTTTGGATAATCCAGCCCCTCACTATAAAAGGTGGAGGGGGGGGCACAGCCATAGTGTCAGTGAATTGAAAGCTGTAGTGGAGAAAGCAGACAGACAGAAATCTTTGAGTAATTAACCACTTTGCTGCAATTTTTGTTATTATTATTATTGGGGGCTTTTTATCTTTCATTTTATTTTGAAGTCAGTGGTCCCTATTAGCCGAATTTCCAAATCATAACAGTACCAAATCTCAAGAAATCCAAAATAAATTATATCAAAACAAATTATCTGAATTTGAAATACGAATGTAAATTTGAATTTGAAAATGAATTTGAGTTTGAAATGGAAACCTATTGCAATGAATACAGTAAGGTCTAAAAATGAAATAAGATGATGATTCCTACTTAGGCTGCTTTATAGAATAGAAAAAATAGAATAGAAAATAACAGAATAGAATGCAAAGAATAGAATAGAAAAGAATAGAAAATAAAAGTATAGAAAGGAATAGAATAGAAAAAAATAGAATAGAATAAAATGAAAATAGCCACCTTCTGAGATTCAAACTTCAAATTTTGATTTTGATTAAAAAATAATATAAATATGAAACATCCAAATATACAAAATAAATTCCAAAAAGGAATCATTTTAATATAACGAATGATTAAATTAAAAGTATTAACTTAACAAATGAATCCGAATTGAAACAAAATAAATTCTTCCATCATGCACATCTCTAGTGACAATGCTGCTCCTCCATAGAATAGCAGATTGAGTGAGCATTAACACCCTAAAACAAATTACTGGCAGGATCACAAGGTAAAAAAAAAAAGGAAAAAAAATGAAAACTGATGCAACCTAACAAGCTACAATATATTACATTTTCTTCCTGGGTTTTTAGAAACACTTTACGGTGATAAAATTAGGCTTCCTGGGTTTAGCACCATTGCATTGTTTCCTAGACATCATTAGCACCTCACTGGTTGACTCAAATGGTTGTCTAGAAAGTTATCTGCATCAAACTGATACTAGCCGTCTTGTCCCAATACTTCATAAGTCCTAGGCTCTCTGTCTGCGCTACTGAACCTATTTTGACTCTAGTTCTGCTCTTTCAATTGTGCTGTCAGTATTCCACATTAAAAATCAGATTAAACATTGGTCTGTTTTCTGCAGAAACTTAAACCACCAACAGACATGCTTATTTCTGCCTTTCGTTCTTGACAGGTGCCAGTAGAATTCAGCAGATTTTAGCTGAAAAGGCAATTCAAGCAAATCCAAGTAAGTAGTACAGAGCATGTGAGTGTAAAATGTTTATGTAGTATTATATAACATCTGGAGGCAGGAAAGCAAATACTGTAAAATGTTATTATGGGACTCAGCTTGTTTTTATTTTTTCCTTTCCAATAAATCTATTCTAAAGTTATTAAAGAGCTTTGTGATAGAAAGGCGGCCAGATTTGTACAACCCAAATTAAATATATATTTATCTAATAAGCTGAATCCATTAAAACTTCAGAAGAAAGTTATGGTTTGCATTTTATATTGAATTTTTGGACTACAAGGAAGAAAAGGAGCCTCAAGTTATGAGGCTGCAGCAAAATAGGGCATTCAATTTTAAAATGTCAACCAGTGTTTTATGTGGATTAAAATGTCATTTTCTATAAATGTTTATATTAAAGAGGAGCTCCACCCAAAAGGGGAAGATCCGTTTTAAGCCTTTGTGCCCCGCTCCCCGTTAAGAATTGGCACCTCTGGGGTGCGGGTAACCACATTTCACAGGTACCCGCTCCCGCTTCCACTGCGATCGCCTAGGCGATCGGAAGTGAAAGTTGTCCTCTCCCCTCCTTCCTTGTAGTCTTTTGGGACACATGACAAGTCCCAGAGGACTACGGGACCATTCAAAAAGCGCAATGCTACTCTCACATACGCAGTGTGAAGCCGCAAGCTGTCACAGCCGAGTGCCCACACTGAAGATGCCGTCTCTGGGGAGAGAAGACGGCCGGTGAAACCAGCTGTGGTGAGGACACTGCTGGACCAAGGAACAAGTAAGTGTCTGTATTTTAAAAGTCAGCAACTACAGTTTTTGTTTTTGAGTTTTATTTTTTTTTTTCATTCAACTAGAACTCCGCTTTAATTTCTTTTTAATGTGGAAGTTGCAGGAATAAGAATTAGGTTCACTTTAAATCCAGCCTCCATAACATTTTATACATCCTTGAAGCAAGGTGAACAAGCTCCAAGGTGTAAGCTCCAAGTTCATCTCAGTCAGAGCTTACACGGGACTGAGGACATTCTAGCCACCCCCATGTGAATGCACTGAGCCAATCACCAAGCACAAGTGCTGTCGCATGAAACTAAAGTGGGTGATTTACTCAATCTACTGTACTTGTAAAATCCAGATTTTTCTCTTTGCTTCCAATTCCCAGGAAGAATATACGGAATCCAATACCCATAGAGGAAGGCAAAAACTCCCATAAAGCATGATCCAATTTACTCTATCAGGGGAAAAAGATTCCTGACCCTCTAGAATCTGACATTTCCCAGATCAACATTCTCTTGTGGTATTACCTATATATGTCAATATACAGTTTTATTTTGTGCATTTAGGATTGTTCTTTAAAACAATCTACTGAGCAGGCCAGAACTAGTTTTTGAGGAAGCCTATTACACATTTTCCCAGCTCTTACTGTGAAGAAGCCTTTCCGTATGTGGAGGTTAACTTTTCCTTCAGGTGTAAAGAGTGTCCTCTAAAAGTGTGATCTTAAAGTGAATAACTCCAAGTTCACTATATGGAGCACATACTGCATTTATTTTTACATGGTAATTATATTCCTCCTTAATTGCCTCTTCTCAAGAGAGAATATATTCAGTTCAGCTAATATGTGTAAGGTAGCATCAGTATTTGTGCTGGTTCAGAATAAAACAAAAGCCGCCAGCACTATATTCTGATACAGAGAATATAAAACATATACGTGTAAAAAAGTGTGTAGCACTTAACAGCGTAAATAATAACTCCAATTGTATAAATCAAAAAACATAAAAAAACATATAAATGATCAATTCAGGTGCAGAAAAGCATAGTGAAAAGTCATTGAATGTGATAAGGGATCTTCAATCACAAAGAGTATTCTTGTATATCCAAGTGCTGCCTTATTCACCCCACTCAATGTGAAATGTCCTTGGGTGCAATCATAGATGATAGAAAACATAAACTTGACCAAACACAATCAAGTGCAGTGCATACCCCACTCGGTGCTCAAGGGAGGCTTACCGGAACATTTGATCATCATGTTATAGAATGGTCAGACAAGGCATGTAAATGATCAAATGGCAATCACTCCAACTTCCTCCACAGTCTCCATTGGTATAAGAAGACATTCCCAAACGCCACATGGATCATCGATATCAAAGGTGTAATGGACATGTAGGGAGACAAAAAAGGCTTCCCATAGTGAGAAATTCTTTAAACGTTTATTAAAATCAAAGTAGTGCACTTACATGTATAGAGATACAAGGCAGCATTGTTAGAATAGCAAAAAACCGCATGTTCCAAGATGGCTGAATGCGTGCATGCATGGTGAAGTCTGTCCTAGCTCCACCCAACGTGTTTCGTGAGAAATGACGTTATCAAAGGTCAGCTAATATGTCCTCATAGCTGAGGTCCTTAATAATGCTCTCTTTTCATATCAAATAGAACATGAGGTCCTTCATAGCAGTACTATGGGATGGTGACTGTGTGGATTAGTTCGGGTAAACATGACTCCTTGCTCACTCATATGTTTATACTCCCCAGTTTTGGAAACACTGTCCTGTAACTCACTGAGAGCAATGTGTATGCCCATACAAGTTCCATCTCAATCAGTATGTTATAAGTATACATGTGTTGTCACACTGTTGAAAAGAAGGTGTTGGTCTTTCTCTTGGGACTTCGTACAAGCCCACAAACGACCTCTTGCTCATCTCATATTGAGCCATACTCCCCAGTTTTGGAAACACTGTCCCCAGTAACTCACTGAGAGCAATTTCAACTTGCAGAATCCTTGACTCTAAAAAAAAATGCTAAATGTGATTCAAAGTTTTTACCTTTTTAATGTAACAGCTGTAGTAAAATGAGAATTGTAACTGTTTATATATTTATATGTTTGCTATTATCTATCATCTATATTATCAAGGTGTGCAAAGACGTGACTGGCAAAGTCCTAGCCGAGGAAATGTTCAATTTGTGCAACGCAGACCAGTAGGTATGATCACTTCAGAGCTACAAATAATATGAATATGTAATCATTATATTTGCATGTGCTGAATGATAATAGTTTTGCAACCTTAGCTCCAGAAAGAAGTAATGCAGCTCCAAATACTGGACAGAGCTGGTCCTCAGACACACGTGATACTCAAGGTAACTGATTCATAATTATTACCAATAATAAATATTAATATTTATAACATTAATAATTACTGTTACTTTTCTATCACTATATCTAACTAGAGACAGGCAATTAGGGAGTATTCTTAAACAGAGAGAGAATAAGGCAAATGAGCCTTAGCTATTGAAAGCTGGTACATTGAAGTTTAATGACACATAATGTATGTTTCCATTATGAGATTAAACCCTATTAGCAGCCCATCTACTTTCTCCTGCAGCAACCCTCTTAAAGTAGACTTATAGGCAAAACCTTTTTTTTTTTTTATCATTTTGGATATAGTATCAATTTTTTTTTTTTCACCATCTGTGTCCTATTACGGAGATTTCCGTATTACGGAAATCTCAGCAAATTAAGTGAATTCCTTGGGGTCCCCCAGGTCACCAACACTAGTGTCCCTATTGGAAAATTTTGCCTCTACTACTTTTCTGGGGACAACCTAAAATTTGGGATTATTGGTAATAGTAAACAGGACAAATAGAGAGAGTGAATCTCCATAATAAAATAAAACTACTCTCTATCCTCTGTACTATATCCAAAACGAAAAAACAAATTTTGCTTTTAGTTAAGTCTAGTACACGCCTAGTACACACTATGAGAAAATCAGACAACCGATCGTTCGATTTTCAAGAAAATATCATGATGTAGTCGGAATGGTATTGATTTGTAAGAAAATCGTCGTCCAACAAAGGAAAATGTAGGCAAACGTAGCTACATACAAGCGTAGTAAAAGAGAAAGTGTAGGGTTATTGTTTGCTCCTGATCATACACATTTTTTTCTATTCGATTATTTCCATACGATTACTGTACACATTAACCACTTGACCTCCAGAGGATTTCCCCCCCCCCCCCCCCCTTCCTGACCAGGCCATTTTTTGCAATATGGCACTGCGCTACTTTAACTGACAATTGCTCAATCATGCAACCCTGCACCCAAATGAAATGTATGTCCTTTTTTTCCACAAATAGAGTTTTCTTGGTGGTATTTGATTGCCTCTGCGTTTTTATTTTTTGGCTATAAACAAAAAAAAAAAGACTGACAATTTTCAAAAAATAAACAATATTTTTGACTTTTTGCTATAAAACATCCAGTAAAAAATGTTTAAAAACAAATTTTGTCATAAATGTAGGCCAAAATGTATTCTGCTACATGTCTTTTCTAAAAAAATCCCAATACATGCAAATTAATTGGTTTATGTAAACATTATATTGTCGACAAATGGTGGTATATTTACTGGAAATTTTTTTAATACTAGTAATGGCGGCAATCAGTGACTTAGTGGGACTGCGAGACTGCGGCGGGCATTCTGACACGGGAGGGGGGGGGGAACTGACTAACTGCCACTGACGTCCCCAGTGACAAAAATACAGTGATCAGTGCTAATAAAAAGCACTAACAGTGTACTAATGGCAATGGGCAGGAAGGGGTTAACATCTGGGATGATCAAAGGGTTAACTATGTGGTGTTTTACTGTATGTGCTATGTGTTTTACTAGGGAAATATACTGCTTTGTATTTCTCTGCTATGAATATATGCAGAGCAATACAGAGCAGCATGTCGGTACTGAGAAAGGAGAGATCTGTGTTGTTTACACACAGACCTCCCCCCTTTCACTGTTCCTAGGCGATCGCCAGGTGCCAGCGTGGAATCTCTGGCCAGGACCTAGCGATCGACAGCTGTAGCCGCCAATGGCGGCGCAGGTAGGGCAAAATATATATATGTATATATACGTGATTTTGCACAGCCCTGCCGCCCTGTAGCAGTAGTTCTGCTATGGGGCGGCAGGGAACTGGTTAAACAAAAAAAAACGGATGTTGTGTTTGCATACAATAAATATTTTCTAGCTTGCATCCTCACTTTTTGTCATCTGAAAAGTTGGAATCGGCTGTTGACAGCACTATACTAACAATCAGATAATCAGACAATTGTTCATCGTATGAAAATGTTCATACAATTTTCTTATCGTGTGTACGGTCCTTAATATACTTTAAAGCAAAGGAACCAATCAAAATCTTTTTTATGTTTGCAGCACAGGTCACAGTTTAAACGCTTATTCCTGGTTGGTTGTAATTGGCAACAACATTTTTCTTTACTGTAGTTTTCATAAATTAGCTCATTCCTTTTTTGCACACTGGAACAGTGAACTACAGTATATTTTCCTCTCTTTACTTCTCTTAATACATCCACTGTCACAAGCTACTAGTATTATGATACCATAATGGCTTTTTGTATTCTTGTGAATGATCTGTTTTAGGTTCACAGCGACGAGACTGGCAAACTCCAAGTCGAGTACAAGTCCCAACTGTTCAGCGTAGGCCAACAGGTATGGTAATAAAAACTAAAGTTGTGAATTATTCTGTTATAAAGCATATGATTAACTAACCATGGTATGTATTTTCTTAGGTCATGATACTGGTTATAATGCTCCCCCTGCTGTGCCTAACTGGTCTGCAGAAACATATGAAACTGATGGTAAAGGCTGATTTTATTTTAACATACTTATTGACTAAATGAAAGAGCTATTCTCAGCCTGTGACTTTTACATCAGACAGAAATTCAGAGATTGCAGCATATACAGAGATTGAGATATGAGACACCATGGTGGTTTAGACAGAGCAGGGAATGCTGGTAGTGATTTCGCATGATCAGTGTCTCAGAGCAAGATAATGCTTAAACCCATCAACAGGGATGTATGAAAAGGTCAGAAGGTGCCCATTGACATTTTTGTCCTATCTAACTGTAATCAATCAGACTGGGCTAACAATCATGTATGTAGCTATCTTTAGTAATAATGGAGAACTAAAAGCAAAACTTTTTTTTTTAATTTTGGATAGAGTAAAGCCGGCCATACACGGGTTGAAGTCTGAAAGAATTTTCTTTAGAAAATCCTTTCTAAAAATTTTTGTTCGAATTCCGCACCATTAGTGGGTCACAAAAATGGCCAATTTTCGTGTGACCATCGAATTTGAGTGATTGGGCATGTTGGAAATTTTTTGAAAAACAAAAGAATTTTGAATCAATGATGGGAGAATCATGGGAAAAATATAAACGAAAAAGAGCATGAGCTGTGACCTGGAAAGAAAGGAAAATTCTTGGCCACGAAAATTGTTTTCAGTAGCAACATGAGGTGAAATTGAAGGTTTGATCGATTGAATTTCAAAATAAATGGTGGCACCATCGGACTACAAAATGCAGGAAAGTTACAATTTTCTAAAGAAAATTCATTCAGAATTTGTGTATGGCCTGCATAAGGGACAGTTATAACCCCTGATAGCTTTTTTTCCCCATCCATGTCCCATTGGGGAGATTTCCATTTACTTCCTGTCCCAAAGCCAAAACAGGAAGTGAGAGGAAGAAATCCCTGCAAATTAAGGTAATCTCTTGCCCCTCCCCCCCTCCCAAGTCACCAGAACTAGTGCCCGCATTGGAAGATTTCACCTCTATTACTGTCTTGGGGACAACCCAAATTTGGGAAATTTCTTTTACTTGCACTGTCAATGATAATGGTAAATAGGACAAACAGAGAGGGTGAAACTCCCTATCAGGGCTCAAACAGCAATAAAAACAGATGGGTATTCTAATCCATCTCCACTCTATCCAAATTTAAAAAAAAAAGGTTTTGGCTTTAGTTACACTTTAAGGCCTAGAGTTTAGGTATGGTTTTTATTGCATAGTTACATTTGTCCTGCTTGGACCAAATGTAAGTATGGATATGTTATACCTAACAGCAGCATTGCCAAATAGCTGCAAATTATACATAGTAACAATAGGGGATTGTTTGCTCAGCACTGCTACCATTCAGAGGAAACTTTGTATTTTTTTAAATTAATACAAGGCATTTTCTGATTGGATAAGATGTAGATTGTGATATCACCACCCCACCTCTCCACCTCATCACGTCTCACATCTGCCTTCCTCCTCCGACTTATTTTCATATGTGTAGTGTCCACCACTCACTCTGCCTTCAAAACTGTTTGGGAGGTTGGCCCCACTCACTCTGCCTTTAGATGCTGCCTCTAAGTATACTCCAGAGGAATAAAAGTGAGAAAGTGAGGCAATTTCCTGTACTATGCCAAAGTGCTTCTCTAGTGAAAGCTTGCAGGTCACATCTCCAAGCAAGGTGTTAGCACTATCAACTAACAACAGCTGCATCTCAAATGTTGCAGGGTAAATTGAACCCCCTAATTCCCCACCATATCTATTTAACAGGCCACACCTCTGGGTGGGGACTGCATTTATTATAATATAACTTTAATTAAATAACTAATACATGTATTAACAGTGAGGTGGGTTTACTTAAGAAGTGGAGGCTCTTTCACTTAGAGAAGTTATTTTTTTGCATTTAAAGCATATATTCACTAGTCACAAAAGTCAAAGAATGGAGGACAGCAATAACATAAGATGAAAGTGTAAAAGGATGTGAATTGAATACTCCAGCTGAGATGGCACAACTGCCCACATATTATTTTTAAACACACAAAAATAATTACAACTTTGTACATTTTAAAAAAATATATTGCTTACATGAAACATGTTTTAAATGGACTAGCTCTTTATATATTTTTTTCATGTCCATGTTTCAGTTTCACAGAGGCGAGACTGGCAAACTCCAAATTACCGATTAAATGTTCCCCCAGTACAGCGCAGACCAGCAGGTATGATTGATAACTGTTAAGACGAGCAAACCTTTAGAACTGCATTTTCCTGGCATTTTATCGAATGTGTTCACCAGGTTTATACCCACCAATCCTCTAATATATTTGTCCTGCTTTTTATACTAATTAATAATAAGCCCTTGAAAAATACCCATTCAGCTCACCAAGTATAAGGACTGATATTTCCATGACATGATAGAAAGTCACATGTGAAGATCATCTACCATACGGAAATCAGTCTACTGTATATGCCATTCATGGATTGACTGACCCTTCAAGACTATTGGCGGAAAAAAAAAAAGGGTCCCCCTTTTCAAAGTACTATCCTAATGCATAAGTCTCAATCAATTTATGACAGCAACTGGACTGGGGGTTTCTGTCCAGTTTAATTAGTTTTTAATGTGTCCCTATTAAATAAACAGGTAATCAAAGTGACCCTTTGCACTCCCCAATCATCTAAAAATAACACATACTGTTTCAAGTGCACTCTTTGGTTTCTCCAAAATTTTCAGCATTACCAGACTAGGGCTTGGTGAAGGTTGGCCCACTTGGGTTTCATACAAACATATATGCATTATATGGTAAGTATGGAATTGAAAAGAAATGGGGCTGTAACATTTTTAAATTCTAATAAAATGTTTGCCAATATCCAGTAGCCGTTGTCAACCCAAGCTACTATGGCAATCAATTTGCTAATTTCTGCTGGTAGGTATATCGCTAGCATGTCTTCATATTGATTTCAGTTTATATTTTTAGTTCCAGAAACCAGCAATATAGCTCCTCCTGCAGCTCCACTCTGGCCCACAGAAACCCGGGATACTCAAGGTAAAGACTATACGTTTTCCTATATTTGTGCTTTTACTAGCATTAATACTACAGCCATACCTCGGTTTACAAATTTAATTTCGTATTGTGAAAAATTCATAAACCGGAATGCGATTTCCCATAGGAATGCATTGAAAACCAATTAATCCGTTCCGGAGGTCAGAAAAAAGTAAAAAAAAGTCTTTCATCTGTTCAAAACTCTTTATAAAGTGCACTTTAAAGGCATAAATACTGTACAGGGACATGATTAAAAATTAATTTGTAAATGCATTGAAAACCAATTAATCCATTTCCGAGGTCAGAAAAAAGTAAAAAAAAGTTCAAAACACTTTATAAAGTGCACTTTAAAGGCATAAAGGGACATGATTTAAAAAAAAATCCATAAATGCATTGAAAACCAATTAATCTGTTCCGGGGGTCAAAAAAAGTAAAAAAAAAATTTTCTGTTCAAAAATCTTTATAAAGGGCACTTTAAAGGCATAGTACTGTACAGGGACATGATTTTAAAAAAATTTGTAAATGCATTGAAAAACAATTAATCTGTTCGTATTGCGAAAAAATTTTGTAAACCGAGTTATTATTTTCAATGTATTTTCATTCGTAAACCGAAAATTACATTAACCAAGGCATTCGTAAACCGAGGTATGCCTTGTAATGTACAGCGCTGAGTGAACTATTGGCGCTTTATAAATACTGTATAATAATAATAATAATATAGGTATTACTAATATCTTCAGTAAAATACTGTATGTTAAATTCAGACTCTATATTTGTTATATTATGCTGTAAGGATAATGGCACAGATGACCAATACAGTGAATTGTATGGCCATGCATGAGCGAATTTGAAGTGTAATTAGCTAAAACCAATTAATTTGTGAACTAATAAAGAGTCCACTGGACCGCCTAACAGTTGAATATCTATAGTCGGCCTTCCTATCCATGCTTTTTTCTGGCTTGTTGGCCTTTTTCCCCATCCTTTCTGTTATGCCATTTCATAGATAACTTTATACTGGTCTTTACAAAGATCTTTTTGTGAGTTTAAAGCATTCAAATAAAGGCATTTATGTCTTGATGACACAGCACATCCACAGATTATTTTTTATGTTATGAGCATAAGTGGTGCTTGCCTTTTGGCCCATCTTCTAAAGCAGAACTATAGGCAGGAACATAAAGAAAAATATTTATATACTTTACTATACAGTATATTAAATGTATTTACAGCTACTCAAATGCCATCTTTTTATACATTTCTCTAAATCACCCAACACATAATGATTCAGGTATAAAGTGGGAGGTTATGTGTTGCAAACTTGTCCGGTGCCCTTGCATTGCTCAGTACTTCCACACTGATGTAAATGTTTTGATTTACAAATCAAAGACACCACAGGGAAACTTCTACAGGCCACTAAAGCACTATACAACATACTGTATAGTATACAGTGTATAGTCAATTTTGTATTTGACTGTTTTTGACAGTAATGAGTATATTACACGTACAAAAATAATATACATACAAATAAACATAAAACTCAAATATAGACACATTTGGATTCACAGATGTACATAAAAGCTAACACATTAGGTATAACCAAACATGTTAGAGATGTGAACACAATTAGGATGCATTAAATGTTTTTAAGAAGAAATTGCAAGCAATGCACTGTTTCAGTCCAAAAATACTGTATAGTATTTATTGATTCAACACATGTTCATCTTCTTTTTTTTGCCACAAATGTTTTATTAGCAAATAGTATGCACAGGTATAAGACAATATACGCAACCAATCAGGCAGGAATGTTACAAAGCAAATCCAAACAAATCAGTACAAAACATAAAGAGGCACCTCCAGCAAAACAGTTACACACCATGAATTATAATAGCTCAGGTAGTGGCTATTTAAAGGCTCAAGTCTCACATGTTCATCTTTTATATGTTTTTAAAGTTATGATGTTCTCTTAGGCCTCATTCACATGGACAATGGCATACCAGCTATTATATGCATTTATAGGATATTTGTAAACACATATTAAAAGAGAAGTATGGGGCATTGAAAAAAAAAACCCATTATACTCACCTAGGTGGATGCTGCATCTGCCCCTTGCCAGCTCTGCACAGAGAACTGAGTGATCAAAGACCGTGGCCATGGCCATGGAGGTGATTGGTACACCTGAATCCAATGATTTGAAGGGGTGTTCCAATATTTTTGGCAATATAGTGTACCTTGTACTTGCACATCATGAGTGTAACATCTGCATTCCCTTACAGCTATCACAACAGCCATAGTCTATGCAATTTGCACTATGATAGGCTATAATTGTACAGACTAAATCACTGCAGCAAATCATAGTCAATAGCATTTTCCCAATGTACCATAAGCAGGTTTCACTCTCATGTTTATGTAAAGTATTTGATCATTTATTTGGAGATATTGATGTTTGCCTAATACTGTATGTACAATATACAATATTTAGATATCTGTCTCTAGTATAACCAGCATAATAGCTTGAGTAATTATTGATTATATTTCCTTCTGATTTTTTCCTTCAAGTGTCTTCTTTTGTGTCAAAGTAACAGTTTTAACCTAACTGAATTAAAAGTCCAGCGATTTTGTTTTATAATAGGGAATGAGGTAAAGTCCTTAAACTATATATATATAAAGTATAACATCAAGGCTTTTTTATTTTAAGCATCTATGAGGCCAGATAGTGTACCAAAGAATAGGAGCTTGACATGCATTGTTTGCTATTATATCTTTAAATCTGTAGCAGAGATAAACCAGTATATATAGATTTTTTTTTTTTTTAAAAAATAAAGACACATAAAGTAACTTTGTATTTTGTGAATATTACTGCTTATGCATTTTCATTTTTTCTTAAGAATAGTGGCCTTTTAGCTATAGGAAATACTCTCAAGTGGTGTAAGCCACAAGCACTATCATTAATTAGTATCTCATGAAGTTCTGTGCTTCCAGCTAGTCCTATTGTAAACAACTGGTGGGATGTGTGTTTTTTTTTTAAAGGTAATCTAGATCACTATCTGTATTCCATTTTTTTCTGATATGGGGTGTCTCTAATCCAATTTATACATGGAACTTGTTGACTCAGGCAGTAGCACACTGCCACCATTGATGGCTGATGTGAGGGTGCCATCCGCAAAAGCCAGATAAAACATGATTTGCATAGGTCTGAAATGCAGCCACTTGATCCTGTTGCCCTATTTATTCCAAAGCTATCATTCTTCGAACTGAATTTACTTATAGCCATCATTAGCTAGAGGTGTTTATGTTTTTGAGATGTTGTACACTATGATGTCTGTACACTTTAGTGAAATATGGTCTGCACAGGTAAACCGCAGTTTGTGTGGTCATGCCAAAAAAGAAGTGCTGGCAGGTCAGTTGCAGTAACATCTTCAAATGGGAAGTCTAATCCAAGTTTTCTGTGATTTTAGTTGACAAAACAGTATTTCATGCTACATCTAGAATTTTTTAAAGGATTACTTCTAGCTACATCTCTAAACTCTAAAGTCAATCCTAACAACACTTTCCATTGCACAATTTTCTAACTGTGCTGAGTCTTACCGAGACCATCAACAAGCAAAAAAGATCAAGACAGCCAGCCACAGTCAACAGGAGAGGGGTTATGTCAACTACAGTATCATGGAATAGGCTATCATAGCAAGAGTGGCATCGTTTTTAAGACTGCTTAGGTGAAAGCAAAATACATTTGCAGTTGCATAGAAAAAAATTTAACTCTATCCAAACAATTTTAGGTACTTCAGCATCTCTTTCAACACTAAAATGTAAAAGTGTCTACAATGTATTTTGCCACTTATTCTATACTCGCCAGTTTAAAGAACTGTATTTATATATTTTTTATTTACTTCCCCTCCCCCCCACCCCCTGAGAAGTGCTGCCCACTTGGTCTTAAATGTACCTCCCCAATCCAGTAACCTTCACTGGGCAGTCACATTCAAGCTCCACAGTCTTTTGTATAGATATATCATACTCTGAACAACTGTGTCCTTTAAGCTCTTCATCCAAAGTCATAAACACATAAAGTTTCCCACAATCCAAATGAGAATGCTAGCTCACCTGGCTACTCATCAGCAGCACTGCTGCATAGATACTGGTCCCTCTGACCACCAGCTCTTCCAAGCACACAGCTTAGAGCTTCTCGAACACACACAGCAGCTCCTCTAGCCTAGTCCTCAGGCTTTTAACTGTCTCTTGCAGACATTCATACTCTTGCTGCCACATGTAGCCTCTCTGATGCTTTTAGGAGACCTTCTGTCTCTCTTGGTTGGAGCCCTGAGGTATTCCTAAAGCTCCATTATAAGGCTGTGTGCACCTGGGCACACACCCTGCTGTTCCTCCACAAAACCTGGACACTGGGTTGGAGATTCTGTCCTGCCCAAGGCACTATGGAATCTCCAAACTAGGGAGACCCATCCATGACTACCAAACCTGGAGAAAGATACAAAAGCAGTTTTCTCCATTCAGAACATCTGCTCCCTAATCCTGCACTCAGCAAAAGTGCAAACCCTGTGTCCTTTTACTGACCACTTACACAGTGATAGAACCTTGTACTGTCACAATATACATAAAGATGGGCAGGGGAGTTCAAAAGGGCTGCAAATTTCAAAAATGTATTTTAATTTAAAGTGCTCTTTTCCACAAGATTTGTTGGCCCTGATCTGCCTGCAGCTGTCTGTACACATGAGGTTGTCAGCCAATGTGCATTTAATTGGCTGGATTCTGAAATTATAATCTCATAGACATATACAGTATAGGGAGCTTAAAGTATATCTAAAGTGAAAACTTTTTTTTTCATTTTGGACAGAGTAGGGGATGATTAAAACTGCTGTTGGTTTTTTTGTGTGTGCCAGCTATGTCTTATTGGGGAGTCTAAAATTAATTTCCTGTCCTGTAGACTCAACTGGAAGTCATTGCATACCTTTTCAATGTGAGGTTAATCCCTTCTTAGACAGCTGCCCCAGGAATAGGTGTCCCCACTGGAATCTTTTCCCTCTATTACTGTTCTGGTGGTAGCTCAATATGTTCCATATACCCTTACTTTAATTTCCGATGACAATGGTGACCAGAACTATTAGAAAGAGTGATTCTGCCTAATGGGGAAACAGGCAGTAATAGAAATCTGATAGTGCTTCTAACTTCTCACCACTTCTTTAAATCTAAATAAAAGAAATTTACCTTTAGTAATACTTTAGGGGTTCGTATACTATTGTATTTTATGACAAACTTGTTTTACCTAACCACCTCACTTTCTCCTGCCCTTAATGCATGCTTACCTGAATTGTATAGCCTTTGCTTACAAGAATCTTAAAAGCCTCTGTCAAAAAACCTTGCATTGAAAGCACAACTATCCTTTAAGGTAAATTTGTGGCCAGTCTTTAGACATGCAAGTACTTACATTTCCTTAACAAGCAGAAAAAGTTTTAAAGCAAGCACTTGCTGTAGTCCGTTGCTGCAGAAACTACTCAGCAATTTATCTACAAAGTTCATAAAGAAGTATTGTTAAAGTATTTTTCTTCATTGCTCAGATCTCTCTGCTCTCCCTTTCTAGAGTATCTTCTTTATGTTTACATTAGAACACTAGAAATTTAAAGGCAGTAAGACCGCTAGAAGGAGAGGGGGGGAGTGGTGAGCTTAGCTTTGGTAGAAAATCACTTCTGTAATTGCTCCACAATGCCTGCAGCTAAAGATGTAATTGGGGGCTTCTTTTAAAGATCCTTAATGCTTTACTGCACAGGTTTACATTATAAGAGCTGTTACTAAAACAATATTAATACTACAGCATAAATATAGTATAATTCCACTTTTCTTAACGTTTGTCAGTTATTAGTCGTGTTATTATATATGATCATATTATCACATCATTTTGTTATGAGATCATCATCAAAAAAGTTGGTTCGTTGTTTATGTTTTTTAGTTTCCAATCCAAGGTCTAGCATGTCAGAGTTTGACAGGTGGGTCTCCGGCTTCTCACAAAGCAGTAAGTAGTTCCTATTTTATATGACGGTGTAACAGTGTTAAATTAAAGTATTAAAAATGTCCTTATTATTTGTACATTATCAGCTGTTTGTGTTTACTTTTTATTCACAGAAAACACATACAAGTAGAAGTAGATTAAGTACAGTAGTTCAACACTACATAGATCCAGTGATTACAACTCTTCACACTTATAAACATACCCAACATTGGAGAACAGGCATTATGATATATTAGATGTACCAACCAATACTGGTTAGGGATTTCAGGAATGGATAGGGTGTATATGGGAGGGGGAAAAGGGGTGAAGATGGAGACTGGGTCTGGTTCAGAAACATGTCCCATTTCAGTGGGCAGATGCTTAAGGAATTACGATACAGTGATATGAATCAATAATGGGTTGACATAGCCTTCAGGGTTTAGATTTTAAAGCTGTCTAGCAGGTTCATATCGTATAATACATATCTTGGGTATTTTTGTTTTCCATTAGTTTTTATTAAGTGTTTGTATTTTACATTCTTCAATACAATAGTAGTACAAATGTGTACAAAACAGAACAGAAAAAATATAAGAAGGGTCTCAAGGCATAATACGTTCTTGAAGTGACATTCTTAGTGCTTAAGATTCTAAACTGATACTTTTCTTAACTATCTTCATTAAATCTCCCTCGGGATCCCCTCGCACCAAGATTCTCCACCCAAGGCCCGGGGGAGGCTCCCAGTACCCATTGGCCCCAAGTTTCGATCTCATTGGCCCCAGCTGCCCTGGGAAGGGGGAGGACACGCCTATTGGCCCGTGGTCCCACACCCCTTCCCATAACGGCCAACAGGCTATAAATCGATCAAAGATATAGGGAGGAAATAGGTAAAAAGAAAGCAAAGAAGAGAAAAGAAAGAGAGAAAAAAGGGGGGGGGAACAAAGGAGAATCAAAAAGTCCTCACTATGGCTCAAGGGGGGTATCAGCTAACCCGATAGAGTGGAGTCTGTAAGGTAGTCAATCCAAGGTTCCCAAGTTCTGTCAAAGTTTGATAACGTGTCCTGCAGAATGGCAGATAAGCATTTGTTCAACATTATCCTGGACAATTTGGACTTTACTAGCTCAAAAGGGATCACAGGTGATATCCAACATCTCACTATTGTGATCCTTGCCACTATGAAGATGAATGTTATAAGGCGTTGAGATGATCTTGGGGTCCCTTTCGCAGGACAGCCCAATAGAGCCTCTCATGGGGATTTAATCAGATTCACCCCTGTAAGGGAATAAAGGAGGTTATAGAATCTACGGACCTTCGGGCATGACCACCAAAGATGATAAGCCGTCCCTTCTTGACCGCAGCCTCGGAAGCACTTAGAGGAATCTTTTTTTGGAGTCATGAGTTAGTTCTTACACTGGGTGAATCCAAACCATTTTCTGAAAGTATCATTTTATGGAGGGGATGGTAGGCTATTTTCAGATTTAAGGTATTTGGGATTTAGCTGCATTAAGTATTTGGGGTGTAATAGATCACTTATATCAGCCTATTGGTTCACTTGCACAATGGAACAGAAGCACAGAAAGCTCTTGAGCATAATTGTATTTGCTTTATATACTGGGATACCATAGTCCAGAAGCTCTAAATTGCTGGGCAAAAGCACCATATGCAGGCATGAGTAGCAACCATATGCAGGCATGAGTAGCAACCTCTTCAGCACTTGGGGGAAGATTGCTGAGTGTAACACCATAGGGGTCCTGTACCAATGAGATAGAAGCTTATGGTTCATTTCCTCAATTTTATACAAGATTGATACATGAGAAAGCTGTAGGATTCTTTGTTTCTGATCATCAGACAGTTAAGGACTTAGGTTTGTTTCCCAATTTGACAAATATTGTAGCTATGCAAAACCTATATGTAAAATTAACTTATACAATTGAGAGATGCATTTGTTTGGAGGTTCAGACAATGAGAGGTTCACACAAGAGAGTTTTCACAAGAGCCATTAAGTCCATCATAGGAGGAGAATGACTTTACATTGGAGGTACATTCAACTCCCAACTTATGATATGTGAGAGTTGAATTTACCTCCATTGATCCATTTTTTTGTGTCGTATACTTCCTGGAAATTATTTCAAAATGAATCCTCAGGTTACATGGTGTAGTAGGAGAGGTTGTTCTGAAGACTATTTCCAAAACAGTGGATCTTAAATGCTCAAGAGAAATAGTAATGACCCAGAAGTGCGAATTATCACAAGTAATATGGACATTGCTGCCATGCGTGAATATAAACTCACGTAGTTAGGGATAAATCATGAGAAGAAGAAGCAGGGAAAAGGGATCTGTATTTGGAGGATATCCAGTGCACTGTGTTTAAATCAGGGTCACTCAGCTGGAATTCTACACTGACCCATCTCTTAGAGTGGCATGCATACTGTATACCCATCCGGGTGATTCTGGTGATGATAAGAGCCTGATGGTAATATAATGTATGAAGTTAGCCTTCCATTCACTTTGGTTCCAGTTAGGATGTCACGTAAAAACTGTTTGTGTTTTAAGCACCTGTTCACACCAGTGCAATTTGTCATGCGATTTGACAGTTCAAACTCACATGACAAGTTGCATCGTATTTGTGCCCCTATAACCATTCAAATCGGTGTAACTCCAACTTTATGGTGCGGCAACAATATTGAAAAAACGTTCCTGCACTATTATTAGCAATTTCATGTGTGACTTGCATAGACATCTGTGCAGGAAGTCTCACAGATGTCAGGCAAGCCCCACATGAAATCGCACTGACCATTGGCTTTAAAATCATGCTACTTCAAGTGAAATAGCATGATTCCAAAGCTGGATTCATTGTGAACCAGGGCTTAAAAGCAGATATCTGAGAAAGTGTTGTTGCTTAAAAAGGACATAATAATATATGCATGCAGGTATATAGTAATTATTTATACAGTATGTTCTTTATATTTTCTTGTGGTCTACATCTATTCATTTTGCACTGTGGGGGAAAACCTACATAAGGATATTTTACTATGCCCACAAAATTGGGTTCCTTCAAAAATAGCAAAAAAGCATCATGCCTGCTATAAGTTACGTTTTAATTTGGAGAATATAGTCAGTGTGTACTTCATTTCAGATTCCAGAAACACAGATACGGACTCAACCTGGAAGGTTATTGAAGAGGTACCAGAAACCAAAGGTAAGTACATTATACAAATAGGATCCACATCTAAATAATACATAACCACAATTTCTTTTTTCTTTATATTTTGTTGATTATAGATAGTGTTTAAGAGTTCAGCCTTATTAAAACAATTAACATATCTCAGAAGGTCTAGCTGTGTGCTATTTACCATAATGAAAATGATTGTATAGGACATATGAGCAGGTGGGGTCACTGGGCAAGCATATTTTCCATCAACCGTCTTTCCATTTACCATCTAAACCAGCCTTTCTCAACCAGGGTGCCTTGAGGTTCCTTCAGGAGTGCCTTTCAAAATGTCTAAAAGTTGCACAAAACTTATATACACGTTAGAAGGTGGAAGAAGCCTGACTTTTAGTTACACAAAGCCTGAGGGTTCATTGTTTGCCATTGCTACCTTCTAGCTACCGGAGTCCTTACAACCAATGACATCATCAGTTGATGAGGAGGATGTCAGTTGCCTGCACAGCATCCTTGTTTGACCCTTTCCTGCGCCTCTCCATCACTGCTGGGGACACATTAGCTCAGTGATGGAGTAAAACTGAGAGAAACACTTTAATACTAGTCAGGACCAGTGTGAAAAAGTGTATTTGATTTGGAAGAATAAATCATTAGCATTGGGTGTCCTACATGTGTGGATGTTGCTGCATTATATAAAACTATTAGAATAGTGTTTTTAAATTTTAGAATGGGGTGCCTCAAGACTGTTCATAATTTTAAAGGGTGCCTCGGGACTGTCCATAATTTTATAGGGTGCCTTGACTGAAAGAAGGTTGAGGAACACTGATCTAAACACCTGGATTGAGGAGTGCTTTATTTATAAGGACTCTTTATCAGACAGTTAGATGCACAACTACCTTACCAAACAGGAACAGTTGCCCTTTGTGTGCTCTCTTTTATTCCAACTGTTGTATATGTTGAAAACATCAACGGCTGCTCTCCAATACAATCATTCATGTGCTGGATTGGTCACTATATGTTTTTACATTGCAGTTCCAGTTGCAGTTCCAGTGCCAGTTCCAGTTAAACCTGAAGTTAAAACTGTAGATGTAGAACCAGATCCATGGCGAGGGTTCTCAGAAGGAGGTATGTTTCTTTGTAGACTACTAATTCTTACTGAAAAAAGTTTGTTAATTTATTATGATTACCGTATTTTTCGCCGTATAAGACACACTTTTTCTTCCCCAAAACTGGGGGGGAAATGTCAGTGCGTCTTATGGAGCGAATATGGAGCGGCCGGTCCGGTATTTCCACCGCGGCCGTGTCAGAATACCGGGCCGGCCGCTCAGCTCTGCAGCGGGACCTTACCTGTTCCTCTATCCAGCGGCATGCTGTCTTCCCGGCTTCTGTAGTGTGGGCACTGGGCATGACAGCCGGGTGCCAAGTGCGCATGCGCAAGAAGCAGTGCTTTTTGTGAATGGTAAGGCGGTACCTGGGACACATGACAGATCCCAGAAGCCGCCGGACCAATCACAAAGCGCAAGTGCTTCTCGCTCATGCGCACTGGGCACCCGGCTGTCATGCCGAGCGCCATTACAGAAGCCGGGAAGACAGCGCGCGGCTGGATCGAGGAACAGGTAAGATCAAACAAAAACTCTGCGGAAGTAAGAGCGGGTACCTGTCAAATTCAGGTACCCGCTCCCCACCTCCCCAAAGGTCAGCAGTCATCTGTACTGTCCGCAGTCTCTGGTCATCCCTGTGCTGTCCGCAGTCTCTGGTCATCCCTGTTCTGTCCACAGTCTCTGGTCATCCCTGTGCTGTCCGCAGTCTCTGGTCATCCCTGTGCTGTCCGCAGTCTCTGGTCATCTCCTGTACTGTGTCTGCAGTCCATTAGTTCAGAATTTTTTTTTCCTGTTTTCTGCCTCTAAAACCTAGGTGCGTCTTATGGTCAGGTGCGTCTTATACGGCGAAAAATACGGTACTACCAGCTGGATAATTGTGTTTTACCTTTTTTCATAACATTTACATTGAAAGATTTATATAACAAGCAACCTAAATACCAGTTTCTGTAAAATTTGTCATTATGGTGAGAACACCATGGTTATGCCATGTGCAAACATAAGTGCTCTGCCTGTCAGTTATTCCTAGAAGCACCTGTAAAAAAAGTCAAGTAGTTCAACATTACACATACATATTATGTAGTCTTCTATCAAACCCATGGATGGAGCTTTAGGCTTCCTTTCATGTGTTGTTCTCTGGTCTCCTTTTCTTCATTACTGCAAAAAGACTGTTGTGAATTCACAGTCATTCATCTCTTATCAGATGGCTCCATCTAAGATTTCATTCAGACAAAGCAAACCAAAAGGCAGGCAGAAATAGCAAGTCCAAAGGCAGGTAGCTTCTGATGTGGTGTCATGCTAGCTAAGCCATAAAGCTCTGGAAATAATTTGTCACATTTAAACATTTCTTCATAAAGCAAATCTTATATTTGCACAAAACATTACTTTACAAAAGCAAAAAAACATAAAAAAATTAAATAAATGTAACCAAACACATGTTTTCCATTTAAATGAAAAAGAACTATCAGTCTAGGAGGAAAATCCAATTAAATTTGGCCAGATCATTTTTATTTTTAAGTTAAAGATTGCTTGATTCAATTAAGTCTTTGACTAATTATGTGTGTGGTCTGCATTAAGGAATAAATACAGATGACTTTTGAACAGTGGAGGAATTAAAAATTAGAAGGGCATCCATAATAACCAATCATATTTTAGCTTTCATTTTATCTACAAATAACAGATGTACATTTTACAGAGAAGCACAGATTTTACTTACCCATGTTATTTTGAAAATGGCTACAGACTGCTGGATTGTCTGCTATGGAATTCAGGAACTGATAGATTAAATAAGCTTTTCTGTGGGTCGAAAGTGGCAGCATTAGTGATAAGCAACATATAGGTCTTTAAGACAAAAGAAACTGCCATTTATTGTATCTCATCTCAAGGACCGGTATAGACACAACATTGTACAAAGAATAGCGTAATTGCATATACCATTACTCATTCTGAAGAAATATATTTAAACATGTCAATTTAGACATCTTTTTCTTAACTTATAATAGCTGTCAGCTTTTGATTAATGTGTTCATCTATTCATCCGACTTTTCATATCCTTCTTAGACATTTCCATTGTCTTGTAACTAGGCTTTTCTGGAAGTTGTTTTAAAATACTTCATACTAGCAACAGACAATTTTCTTTCCAAATTACAGTTTACAGGGAAGAATCTTTACCCTGCAAGAAAGGATGTTCCTTTTTAAACTCTTTATAGCAGTCTTTTTCTCTAAGTGAAAATAATATCCTTTGATGCTGAAGGAATATGCCAATTATTGATCTTATATAACATCTAAACGAGAATTCTTAGCTATTTGCTACCACATTATGCTGGGAAATTCCATTCAGTATGGTGTTATTGTGTTTTGTGGAATAACTAAATTAGGGAATTAGACTAATTTCTATGCATTCAATACTTTCAGGAGTCCCTGCCAAAGAAGAAGTGAACTCAAGACTACCAGTGGAAACAGTAGCCTTGGGAGGCATAAGTATGAGAAACTTTTATAAAAGGCATATAACTTTTAAGTGTTTAGGGTAATTAAAATATTGCATATCATTAATTCAAGACATACATATACCAAATTCCTTTTAAAATACTGGTATTAGAACTCGAAACTACAGATGTATATGGATTATACAAAAAATAGTGGGTGTAGAATTTAAAATGTGCAGCTTAAAACTAGACTTCACAGTCAGAAACACTAATTAACACAATTGTTTGCTTCTTTTAATCAAAATGTTTTTTAAATGTAGCTAGTGCAAGTAATTGAAATTGATTTCAGCCTCTGTTACTGGACCCACTAAGGGGTTATTTATTAAAACTGAAGAGTGCAAAATCTGGTGCAGCTCTGCATAGAAACCAATCATCTTCCAGGTTTTATTGCCAAAGCTTAGCTGAACAAGCTGAAATTAGAAGCTGATTGGCATGCATAGCAGCACCAGATTCTGAGTGCAACCAGTTTTAGTAAATCTACCCCTTACTGCCTAATCACAGCCTGGGGATAGTAAGGTTACCAAGCTGTGGTGGACTAAATGACAGAAATGACTACTGTATTGGTTTAATCATAAGGTCTGCTTAAATAATACTGCCAGTTTTATAACAGAATTAGTAGCAGTAAAATACCACTACTTACAGAACAGGCTATGCACTTTTGTGATATGAAATCCAAGACATAGGAGTTAAATAATGTACTGTATTGAAGCTCCGTCCTAGGTAGGTTTCTAGGTTGGTTAGGTAAATGTAGTTTTTGTTATTTTTTTGGCTCTCCTTTAATCAGTTGAGCAATTTGTGATTGCTTTGGGCTGTTCTGGGATTCACTGGCTGCAGGTTCATCTGCTTGCCTGTGGTTTCTGAAGGATTCTAGAATGTAGTGGGATGGAAGAGGCAAACCCACAGTCTGAATATTTATGTAGTCTCAGCCAATCCCTGGGAAAGGATGCCCAGTAAGTGGCTGGGCAGTACATAAATAGCCTGGGTCTGCCCTGTTCTTGTCTAGGAGGAGAAGTGCCCAGCCTGAAGGGCTGTCCAGCTGTACTGGATGTGTTCCTCAAGGTCCCAGCTATGCTATGAGCCTGGGGGGGCTGTTCTGATTAAACTTGCTGGAACTGATTAAGGGATTTCACTGAGGATCTGGTCTGAAGAAATGTCTGGCTGGCATTGAAAGGAGGCATCCATGTATTCAGGGACATTGTGAGTACAGACCTGTGTGAAGAATACTAGTGACTGCGTGCTGCTACTATCCCTTGTGCATCAGTGCCAGAGCTTGCTTTAATTGGGAACTTTCCTATGCTGTCTCAGTGTTGCTCAATCCCTTAGTTGTTTGCAGAGGGACTGTATTAAGAAAAGTTGACAAAGTAAAGAGTGTCCTTGTGTTATTACATTTTTCTACTGGAGTATCCAACAGCATTCCTGCACTTTATCCAAGCTCAACTTTCATTAAACCATGAAAAAGATACCCCTAAACTGTTCATTGAGCTAGAAGACCGACTGTTACTGTGTGCCTTACTGTGTACCGGCACTAGTTTGGGAAAAGAACCCAGGGAAAAGCAGCAGAGCCTATCAGGGGTGTGCACTACAGTATCAAGACAATAATATTTAAATAAGGGAAAACAACTTTCTTAATTTAGCCCTTAAGATGCAAGGGGTCTAAAATAGTATGCCATAAATTCTCAAGTTTTCTGTACACACTGTTTTATGCTTTATATTAATATTCTGTTGTTTTAATGTTGTAGACTGCAAAATAGATCTGGTGTTCCTCATTGATGGCAGCTGGAGCATTGGCAAGAGACGTTTCAGGATTCAGAAACTTTTTCTAAGCCAGATGGTGGATGCTCTGGATGTTGGCATTTCTGGACCTCTAATGGGTATTGTACAATATGGGTAAGAATATTTTCTTTATATAAATTTTATTTATCTAACATTAGCAGTGTATGTATCTAAAATTGGTGATTATCTAGTTCAATAGTTTTCATGATGGAAAAGAGGTCCACTGGATTCATTCTGGCTTGCTGCTGTTTCTTCATTTGAAGTACTTACACGATGACCTGCACCAAATCTAAAAATGACCTCAGGCATGCACAGACAAATATTCACTAGTACAAAGTTAAATGTGGTGCTTTTTTCTAAAGAAATTATAACAGATTAGGAAAAGAAAATCAGTGCAACTTGTCTTCATTTTAGCTTAGCAACACACTTAGCACCTACTGTATATATGTTAGCCTCTGTCAAGGATCCGGGTGTAACCAGAGGTGTGTGGACTGACACAGGGAAGTAACAGGCTTCAGGAATGATATAATAACAATATACTTATTATTAGCCACCCAAATATACAATGCACAGTAAACAAACCAACCTTCTACTAATCTTAGTATGTGCAGGAACACAGGTGTAGTCAGGGCTGGAGAGGTGGACTGGTCAGGCCGGCCATATGGTTCTGTTAACGACCGTTTGGTGGTACCTCTAGCAGTCCTCGGGACAGGATTCCCCAGGGCGCGGAGTCTAAGTCCCAGTCTGCTTATTCACCAGGGCCCCTGATGGTGGGGATGGACTTGGAGCAGACAGGAACCAGGTCGCAGCCCCTGAGTACACCTGCTCCTGGTAGAGGGATCTGCCAGAGGTATATGCAGGTAGGAAGCCTGATGTGAAGAGGCAGAAGGTGTGAGCAGGGATGACTGGATCCGTGCAGGATGGATGGATGGCAGAGTAGTTAGAGTGGTCAGACGGGCCAGGTCGGTAACAGCAGGTCAGCGTGGTACTAAGCAGCAGGCAGATGAGTAGTCAGGTCACTCGCCGGGGTCGGTAACAGGAGTACAGATCAGATTAGGGATGTCCAGGAGAGTAGTCAAACGAGCCAGGGATCAAGCAGGAGAAGTCAGCAGAGGTCAGGATCAGGCAGGGTCAGCAACAAATCAAATCGGCAGAGGAACAGGACACAGGATACAAGGTACAGGGGCTCATGGGAAACATACACCAAGGCACTGATCACAGGCCTGGTCCTGCTTAAATACACCTCCTGCAATCAGCTTCAGGTGATGGCCTGATTGCAGGAGTGAGATTCTGGCTGCTGAGAGCACCCGCTGGCCAGCCTTGGTACTGCAGCCCACAAGGCAGGTGAGTCTCACCACCATCACCACCATTGGCAAGTCCATTCCTGACAGCCTCCTTCTAACATCATCATTTAATTTTCCTCACCTACTGCCAAAGCATGTGTTTGTCATAGTGATGACAATTACTTATTTTCCATCCTTTAGGGATGACCCATCAACAGAATTCAGCCTTCGATCATACTTCAACTCTAAAGACCTAAGAAATGCCATTGATAAAATTCCACAAAAAGGAGGATTTTCTAATGTTGGTAAGTTTAAGTAAACATGATTTTTAATCATTCAATCTCTACTGGGAAGGATTATTTCAAGAGAGATTTTAGATTTACAATTCTTTACATTATATTGCTGCAAACCGTGCCTACATGCCAAACAATACATTATTCTGTGGTTATTCTTAGCCACTTCAAAATTTTGAATGTGCAATATATATCCTAAAAACTTCAACAATGTTTTAAAGGCACATCTCTTATGGCCAGCTTCTTACTCTTTGCCACTGATTCCTCCACCATTATTATTGGCAATTGCCAACTGTCAAATATGACTGCTGGTAATTGCTTTGTATGACACAGTAAGAACAGCAGTCAAAATGTATCCCTGTGTAAAATGACAGTTGCAGATTGTATGCAAGTGTCATTGAGTATATACAATTAATCAATATATTGTTTTCTGTATTTGCTATTTCATTCATATACTGTAAGGACTCTTTGATCTGTATATGACATCACTTGAAGAAACTTTGCAAATTAATTTTGTAAGAATACAATTTATTCAAATGTACTCCTTATTAGCCCCTAGTTAATCCTATTTAACCCATTACCTATGATTTTTCTGCTTTTTTTTCGATTCTTTGTTACATTCATTTTTTTCATTTTCATTCCTTCTGTTTGTAACTTTTTCAGTGTTGCATAACCAGAAAATGGGCAAAACTGAAAAAAGTCCTTCATTTGATTTGGAATTAAGCTTACCAACAAAAAAAATAATTTTAAGGTTTTCTTAAATGGGGAAACTCTAAAATATAATTCAGACGTTTTATGTACTGTAAGACTAACACTGGTCAAAACCAGAGAGAAAAAACATCTTTTCATTTTTTTCTTTATAGATTCCATACAAAATAACAAAACAATATTGTAACTAGAAAAGCTACAATTTCTGGGGAAATTGTGTGAAGTGTTCTTGCCTCCACCAGTAGTCTACAACTGGAGTGGGCAGAGTAACTGGGCTGAGTAGCTTTTGTCACTCTGCTGCCTGCTCACACACCTGGGTTCCTATGGCAAGTCACTCTACAGCAAGGGCAGAGGAGAGGTTAAAAACAAACTGCTCCAACTTGCTCACTTCACTGGCGGTTGCCATCTTCAAACGGTTGTAGTTTTAAAATTATAAATCCTACACAAAGAGCTTTATATTGTGAGAATCACAAGACCAAGACCTACATTTTGCTGCATAGTATGTCTCTGAAATGTTAAAAATGAAGGCACAGTCGCAGTTTAGAAATTGCCCTTCAAATTTCAGGTGTCTAGAGTGGAATTTCAATGAATGTCAATGGGCAGCGTGAGTTGCAAACAAATGGTCATATTGTGAAAACTATCAGGACTATGGCTTAGCCGTGGACATTTTTAGTGGCAGCAGGGATAGTTGAACATTTTGATATAAGATTTGTGCAGGTGGGCTTGAAAATGAGGGAGCGATGGCAGTTTAGAAATCATGTCCCGATTTTTCAGCTCACACTCTAGCTTTTGTCAGCTCCCACTCTAGTTTTGAACATTCCGCCGTTCATTCCTATGGGACCAATTTCACCACAAAAACGGCGATATTTCATGAACCATTCAGCGAAACATTCCACAAAGCAATAGCACACCAATCGGGTACACGTTTTGGTATATTACTGTCTATGTAGTGTAAAAACTGTGGGAGGAGTTAGGGTGGTAAATTTGGCTATAATAATAAGAATATATATGTGAGATAACAGTAAGTGGTCTTGCCATGCAAGAACACTTAATTACACAGTTATCACTCACAAAACATTCCCAAAGTGTTAATGTAAAATTTTCTCAGGTTCTTAAGGGTTATACAGAAGCTGAAGTGGTTACTGATGAGATGCATGGATGAAACCATAAAACACTTCTACAACATGAGCTAAGCAGATGTGATGGCTTGTCAATACTGTAACCAAAAGAAAGAGCTGGAATGGAGATTTTTACATTTTTTGCTGTTACAGTTTCCTACATGAATGCATTTCCACTAAGAGTGACATAAGACTGAGATTTTTATTATTACTAGTAACTATATGGTCAGGTAATGGCCATGTGTATAGAGCAGAACATTGTACACTTAATTTACTACAGGTATTGCAAAGAAACATAAGCTGCAATAGATTAGGGACCTGTGTCAATAAGCTTCAAGTTCGTGTTGATGGGCAAATGCAACTTGCTTTCAGATGCATCCCACTTGCATTTGAGATCATTTACAGGTGCCTCTGGCCTACAGTCGCCCTCCTGCTAACCTGCATAAATTTTCTTCAAGCTGTTGTTCCATTCCCACCAAATTGTATGGGAAGAGAAGCAGTGCTGACACACAAAAAAAAAAAAAAAAAAAAAAAACGCCCCTCGACCAATGCCATTATAGGGAAAGATATTTAAAAATGTATACAGCATCCAACATATGCAAGAAATCTACAATACACCAATAGCACCATAATGTGTCATATATCACATATCACTGCCCTGTCTCATGATAACATTAGATTATTATGACTATAATTGCAGGAAAAGCTCTGTCCTATGTGAACAAGAATTACTTTTCCGATGCCAGTGGGAATAGAGGAGCAGCTCCAAATGTGGCTGTAGTTCTTGTTGATGGATGGCCAACAGATAAAGTGGAAGAAGCCTCTCGTCTTGCTCGGGAATCAGGAATAAATATTTTCTTTGTGACAATTGAAGGTGCAGATGACAATGAAAAGTCTAGTGTTGTGGAACCAAACTTTGTAGAAAAGGTAATTTCCACTTTTTATATTTATATGTGTAGATATAAGGGTGAAAATAATATATCTCTGTCTGTTATTAACTTACAGTATATTAAATAGAAAAAAATGTTCATTTCTTAATTTTTTTGCATTCATAAATATTTAAAGTTTTGTATATGTTTACTTTTATACATTTTTGTTATATTTTAAATATAAAATTCTTGTTTTTCCTGATAAACAATTATTATATGAGAAACAAAAAAAGGTAAACACCTGGCCCTTGGGATTAATCTATAATAAATTGATTAAATTAAGAAACTAATAAAATGAAATAATAAAGTAAAGGTACATTCACAGTTGGATGTAGGAGAAAAGGATAAATGAAAGTGGGAGATCACATATTTTAGTTCATTTTCTGTCAATGTATGGGGTGGAGACTCTGGTGAATCACTCAGGTAGATGATGATACCTGAGTGATTCACCAGAGTCTCTACCTCATACATGTACAAATCTAAGACTCAACATACACGATTTCTCATTTGCATTTGTCCTTTCTCTAGCTTCAACTGGTGTTTTTCATTGATCCATGTCTATATAAGACAGCATTTTCGATTTTCTTTTTGTTATGTATAAGCACGTGATTGTGCGAAACGCGTCAATAGTTCTGTACTTGTCCTGGTGCCTTTTATGTCCTATGGATTCAATAAACTATTGTGATATTTCATCAATCATCCGGTGTGCGGCTAACCCTTCTTTTTTATTGCAGCAGAGAGTGGTGAGTGGGGCTGGGATGTGCTGTGTTTGTCTAAAAAACATATGCAGCCCAGCTCAGGAGTAAGCCCACAGGTGTGTCCACATAGGAAGAAGCTTCCTATGTGGGCACACAGAGAAGAGGAAGAGGCTAGAGTGCCGCCAGGGTACCCCAGGAGAGGGGGTTCAGGGCCAATTTTTTGCTTTTTTTTTATATTTATGAACTAATCTCTGACCATGCTCCTTCCCATTAGGCTGCTGGAATACCAAGCATCTTATATTCCTCTTTTTGCTCCTCGATCCATAGTAGTGCTAATACTCCAGATGTTCTGATTTATTATATGAGGATTCTCTTGAGCACGGTTAGTTTTCTAAATAGTAAGCACAGTAGTAGTTTTCTTTCAGGCTTGCTGTCTTTGCCTGAAACGTTTGTGGAGCTGTATGGAGGGTGGGAGACAGAGGCATGAGTCATTCCTCTGACCCATTCACCTTTGTGAGTAAATTTTTGCTTGATCTACTGAACTATGTAAACTACAGGATTATTATAACAGGCTAGAAGGAATCAAAGGACAATGGGTGAAAGGGGTCTAAATGCCCATCTGCTGGTTACTTGCAACAATACTAAATGATCATATGCAGTATTTAATATTTACCTTAAAAATCTAATTGTAATTTTTATCTAAAAAAAGAAAAAAGAAAAACATGTACAACCTTTATCCATTACCTTTAAGATCACATTCATAAGTAAAGCAGAGATAAACAAAAGATCTTATAAAAAAATGCCTAAAATACTATGTGTGCTTGTATGAGAAGCAATTGGATTCCAGCTAATAACTAGCAGTAGTGACATTCAACTGGACTTGTTCGGAAATGTTGAAGATGTTACGTAAATTATCAAAGTAACTACATCCGTTCTACATATAATGCCATTTTATCATCCCTCTCCTGGCAATATGAAAACAATTCACACATTTAGCCATGTAAATTGAAGGATCCACGCCTACTGCAGACTTTCTGGCTTGTGGGATTAGATCATATAATTAGAAAAAGTAATTTTCACAAACTATTAAATTTCTCATCCTGTTCTTGGGCAATCAACATCTGCCTTAATAATATTCCATGGTAATTTGATTAAGGTGACTAAGTTACCCATGCAGATATACTGTAGATGGATGAGTAGAAAATCGTCAACATTACAGAACAGGTCCAGTTAAATGCAACTAACTACTACTAGCTATACCATGACCTGGATAAATGAAAACGTTCATGTATTACAAGATTAAGAATATGACTGGTTGCAATATAGGCTGATATATACTATATATACATATTTATCTATCAGATTGCAACTGTATTTTGTGCTAGTGCAAAAATTGGGAACAAAAATCAAAACACTGCCACCACGTTTAGCCCAATTAGTGTAGCAGTATGCTTTCAACTAACAGTCATCATTTATTTTGCAGGCTGTATGCAGGACCAATGGTCAATTTTCCATCAATGTTCCTAGTTGGTTTGGTCTCCATAAAATTGTGAACCCACTGGTGAAGCGTATGTGTGACATCGATAAGTTAGTCTGCAGCAAGACCTGTCTTAATGCTGCTGATATTGGGTTTGTCATTGATGGATGGATCTAGCAGTGTCGGTACAGGAAATTTCCGCACAGTTCTGCAGTTCATTGCTAATATAACAAGCGAGTTTGAGATATCGGACACAGACACAAGAATCGGAGCTGTACAATATACGTATGAACAGAGGCTGGAGTTTGGTTTTGATAAGTACAGCACAAAGCAAGATGTTGTTAATGCCATAATGAGAATCGGCTATTGGAGTGGAGGCACAAGTACAGGAGCAGCCATTACATATGCTTCTGAACAGCTATTTAGCAAATCAAAACCAAACAAAAGGAAGATCATGATTGTTATAACTGATGGCCGGTCTTACGATGATGTCCGGGCTCCAGCTGCAGCTGCACATCGAAATGGTAATTCCTCATTATATATCTTATCATCCTGATCAATTCAAGCTTAGCATATTGTGCAAAAAATGCAGAATTTGGATTACCTTTAGTTAGTAGCAAGTCCAGCAATATAGGAAATCAATTTAAAGGAGTTTTATGGTTACAGCACACACTTCCATTTTATAACATAAGCATTATAATACCAATAGAAACAATAGTTATTTTTAATCATCTAGTATAAGTTTACTAGGAAAATCTCCTTTCATGTTGTGAATTCTGCCTGTCTGCTGGTCATTTCTTTCCACAACTTTCTGGCTTCCCTGCATGCTTTGCAACTTCACCTCTGCTGTTTCCTTTCAGTTTCTAAGGACTACATATCCCATGGTACCTTGCTGCCTATACTGACTCCGTCTCTTGAAACTCCTCCTCTCAGCACCTCTGTAGAAGGCAGGCTCTGTGAAATGTATGACACATCAGTGCTACTCACAGAATATGTTGAATACTTGTCACAGAATTCAAGGAAGTAAATGCATGGGGATCTTCACAAGTTTACAAACTTTTAAATCATACAGATTTAAAATGTGGAAATAAATATAAGATTATAAAATTAGACCATAGATACACTTTAAACTTTTAGTTTAAAGTTAAAAGACAGTTTTACCTGTAAACACTTTGGAAAATCTGAAATTCCTGTGCCTGCACTGCAGGGGTTTTTTGATTGTTTAGACTAGGGGAGAGTAAAACTTGCTTGATCCTCCACTACCCTAGCAGGCGACGCTCCCCCATGCTCTGGCAGTGGACTTGCATTGATCTATGGACCTTGCATTGGTCTTAGTGACGTCTGGACCTTAGACCACTGGAGCATAAGGGAGAAGACTCTGTGGGAACCAGTCTATCGGAGCAGAGGATTGTGTAAGTAAATCTTCTCTTCTATGTCCCCTAAACCTAAACAAGCAATTACCCTTGCACTGTGGATGCAGCCCCACTGCAAGGGATCAATTCGAGGTTTCCTAGAGTTGGCCTTTACCTGGGGTCAGAATCATCCTGCCTTCAGACTATCCCCACTAATCTTTTAAGGAGACACTTTAGAATACTGAAAGCTCTTGACAAGTATGAGATGCGAACACCCAGAGGTGCACATTCCTGCAGCAGCTTTCAGTATCTTCTTCAGTATCTTCTGGTAAGCTTGAATGCTGAGCTGTTCTAATTAGGCAGAGCTTTAGTACCTAAAGTGCTAAAGCTTTCTCACCCTTCCTACCTTCTACACATGGGCCAGTGGGAATGTGTGCATGTGCAGCTTGCCAGTAAGTTCCATATAGTCACATAGTTAGTCTGGTTTCGAAAACACACAAATCCATCCAGTTCAACCAATTCAACTTTCTAGCCTGAGCGGAAAGTTCATATTTACTATTTTATTTTTTATTTTTTTCTCAAATCATCAACACCAAAGCAATGAAATAAAATCTTTAGGCCTATATAGATTTTTAGAATGGGCTTTATAGGTACTTCTCAATTCACCCAACTTAACTGGTGCTTGGTTGTGGGAGGTATAATCTTTACATCCAATCTACATCCCAGTGGGTAATGATTTGGTGGTAAATGCTAGTGACTTTAGTTAGATGCATATTGGAAAATATATGACCAACTGTAGATAATAACATCTGCATTGACCTCAGGAAAACAACCTCCAACAGGATAACTTTTTAGCAAAACAACAGATTTTAATATTTACACAATTCTTGTTCATATATAGCAAACAGTGTAAAAGATACTTAAATGTTTTCAGTCTTTAACAAGCCTATCCCATATTTCTAACCCTAAAGATTACTTAATCTTGCTTAATTAATTTAAAAAACTGATGGGAAGTATGATCTTCTATTAGATATGTTGATTTTTTTTTTTTATCAAAATAATACATGATACATTTAATCTCAAAGAAAATTCAACAAAATACTGAGTGTTAATTAAGTTATTAATTTTAAGATAAGATATTAAGATAATTAAGTAGTCAGAATCAGAAGTCCTCTTTTAAAGAAGATAGCAATCCAGCAATCATGTTTTTAAATTGTTACCCCCCCCCCCCTACACACACAACTCCCGAAACATACCAGCTTGGCACGCAAGCCAACCAGGTGGATATTTCAATAGTAATGCATGCTAGATGCACATTTTTTGTGCCACCTACCTCCATCATATGCAAAAATGTGTTCTGCTTGTGTTTGGATGGTGTTGCCAAGCAGGTGTGACCAAATTGATTTACTCCTCTTAAAGCAGAAATAGATCAATTTAACTACTTCATAAAATTGTTACTTTCAAGGCATAAGGTGAACAAAAACTGCTTGAGATTTTCACTGAACTGTCAAACCATCAAATGGCTAGTGTCATAGTTGTTTACATGTGCAGCACCATGGAAACTGCATATCAAACAGAGGCAGCATCCTTGGCTATAAAGGATAGGAGGGTTTAGTTTTGCTTTAAGACATTCACTGATGATAAAATGCAAATTGACTGATATCAGAATAGTAGCATGCGGTGTGATGTACAGGATTCTTTAGGGCCCCTTCTCACCTAGGCGATACAATTTCATTTACTTTCAATGGCACACCAACACACTAAAGGCACTGTTCCTCAGCCAGGGTTCTATTGAACCCTAGGGTTCCTCCAGAAGTTGCTGCAGGTTCCTTGAGCAATGAGCAACATCTTCCTCTCAGATAAGTTCCTACTGACACCAATGATCTTTTTAGCTATCTGTAAGGAGGTAATTCTTCCCAATGACCACAACAGGAGCATTGTTTCCACTGATCATCACACTAATGTATCATGAATTGTAGATACAGTAATTATTAGCAGGGGTTCTTGAGACCGGACACTTATTTCAAGGGTTCCTCTGTGTTGAAAAGGTTCAGAAAGACTGCACTAAGGCAACTCTGCATTGCAGCACACTCTAATGCACATGCAAAGGTACATTATATTGCCATTATTTGACTGTGATGTGAATGTGATTTGAATGCAAGCTACAAAACATGATAATGTGAAAAATATACCATGCATTAATGCAAAGCACCAAAATGGAAAGATGTAAAGGGGGCCTTAATGATGAAGAGAAGTATAGCACTACACAGCAAAAGGGAAGCTCTGTCAGGTTTCCATTGCTCTCTGTTTGATAGCTTCCAGGCACCTAACACACATGGAAAAACAACACATTTTTCTTTTTAGAAGAGTGGGAAAAGGGTTGAAATCTCTGATGGCTTCATTTACTATTTAGCTGCAGGGCCATCTTAACACATGGGCTGCACAGGTGCAGGGGGGGGCCCTGCAGTTTCCCTTCCTCAGCAGGGGAATCACTTGTGGACAGAGCAGGTGATCAGTGTGGTAGGTGGGGGAAATTAATGGAACCAATCTTCTGTGTGGCTCTCAAGGTTTGCAAGCTTTCAGCTGCTGCAGTGAGCGCCACAAAAAAGATTGGTTCCAGTAATTTCCCCCACCTGCAGCACTGATCACCCACTCTGTCCACATGTGATTCTCTCTGCTGCCTGGCCCCCTGCCATTTGCCTGCCATGCAATGTGCTCTCCCCCTGCAGTGCTGCAGCTTCCCTCTGCTCCTGCCAGCTGCTGCACGGCACAGGGGATCTTCAGATGGAGGGAAGGCGGTGGTTTGCAGTAAATATTTCATACTTGCCAGCCCCTTCCTTTTATTAATGTGCACAGCGAGTGATTGGTGCCAATCACTCACTGTGTTCATAACTGAAACATAGTAAAGTTAGTTTGTGAGCAAACAGAAAGCCTCAGTGTGCATCCTATTCATTCATCTCCAGTGCAGCTAAGGCTGCAGAGAAAGGGACTGGGGGATCTATGTACAGGGGAGGACTGACCATTTGGAAACTTGGGCACTGCCCGAGGGCCCGGGGTCAGTAGGGGGCCCCATGAGATACCCCTGGTACCTTTTTCATAGGCTTTTTTGAGTTTGGGCAAGGACACAGGGGCCCCATTATCCCCTATTGCCCGGGGGCCCCATGAGTTGTCAGTCCACCTGTCTATGTCCCCAGTTAATTTCTCTATCCCAAAAAGGGAGACATCAGACACCTGATATCTCACTATAGACCACCCCCCAACACAGTTGTGAAAATATAATAATAAATTGTTTAAAAAAATGTTTTAATTGTAAAAAAAAAAATTGCAATAACAAAAAAATAAAAAAATTAATACAGAAGAAAAGAGAGTGTATATGGGAAGGGGGTGGGGCAATGTGTAGAGGGGGTGGACAGTATGTACAGGGGGTGAATTTAATTTGGGATAATTCCCTGGTTGTGTTTATTTGTTGTTTCTAAAAAAGCCATGCCCAATTTGTAGCATAAATTAGCCACACCCACATTTTGCAGCACCACGCATAGCATGCTGCAAGTCACTATCTCCCTGGTAGGGGCCCCAGTACATTACTTTGCCCAGGGGCCCTTGGTGCTATTATAATGGCACTGCCTAGCTGGATTCTTTATCTTCAAATGAGAATTAAATGACTTTTCAAATTATATCTATGTATAGAATTCAGCTACTAATGTTCACATTTTATTCACAGGGGTCATTGCATATGCTGTTGGTATTGCCTGGGCAGCCCAAGATGAACTGGAATCCATTGCTTCTGATCCAGATAAAGACCATTCATTCTTTGTGGATGAATTTTGACAGTCTCTATAAGTTCGTAGGAAAGATTATCCAGAATATTTGTACAGAGTATAATTCTCAACCAAGAAATTAAAGTATGCGTTGGTTAAAGTAGTTTCATGCTGCTTGGATAACATGCTTTTTGGCATTGAACAGAAAAACATGTACAATGAATTATGTATTAATTTAGAGAGGTTTGTCTTTGACTACAGATATTCTTGTGTCCTGACTCTTGATCCATGACACGCTAATAATGTTTTCTTTCCACCTGTAAGATGCAGCCTCAATCCACACTTAAGGTGTGAAAATAACTGAAAATATGATCATCGCAGTTAGACATTCATAAGGCAAATCTTGGAATATAAATATATTGTGGCTATAAAGTCAGCTAGTATTACCTGACCTATTGGCCTGCTTAGAATGCAAAAATAACACTTTATTAAAACGGGTCATAGGCAGTATTGTTACGGAACATTTACATCTATGGTAATTTTTTCCAGGCTTGGCAATAAACAAAAAAATAACATAATTGGAAGCAATGTTATTATCCAATGCTGCCCTCTAGTGTCAAGTTAATAATATACAGCATAAGAACAAAGCTTTATTTGCAAAAGCCATCCCAAAGCATCATATCTTTTAAAGACAAAGATATGTTAGATCAATATTTTCATTTCTTAGAACAATGTTATTCATTTGGTGCAAGAGCTATTTTCTGCTCTTCCACATGTGATGATTTTGTAGTTGGCTACAAAGTAATCTAACAGCACAGTGCCATGAATTTTGGTCCTCATAGGGTCACATGACACAGTTCTATACAGTTATATAGACTAAGCAGAACTGTAAAAAAAATGCATATTAAAACTGCATTTTAGAGGGGGGGAAAGTCATGAAAATCAATATGGCAAATCAGATGCATTTTGAGTTTTTTTTTTGCAATTATTTTGTATATTTTAAATAAAAGTCTTTACTTAAAAATCAGAAAAACTATATATTTCAATATAGTTTGTACAGTTTTAATAATATTCTATTTTCTTTATATGATATAGCATTTATACACAGCTAAAGGTTTTTCAGTGCCTCATATACTGTTTCTTTACTTTTAAATTGTTTTGTATATAAGAAAAGTTTTTACTACTTCAAACCAGATGTAATGGAAGTTCAGAGTTTTACAACACAATCAATGTTTGTGATGTATGAAATATGAGACAGATAGCAATATATACTGTCAGTTTCCAAGGACAATTTTTTTTTGTGGGAGAATGTCATCCAAACTGTTTCTATCACATTATAAAGTAATTTCAAAGAAATAAAAATCTACAATATTACTGTCTTATTGCTGGAATAAATGCCCTATACTGTAGAATTGTCTTTGTAATATCTTGTTTGTGTCTTTTGGTTTGAACACTTTGTACTGCTCACAAAAGTTATTTTGAAGAAAATGCTTGTTTTAAAGAAGGTATTTTCACCTGTCAGCCCTTGTTCACACTGATGCGGTGCGAAATTTTCGCAGTGTTTTCTGTGTGAATTCTGTACCGCATCACAATCGCACCACGTTCATGCGAACCACTGAGGGTGTGTATGTTAAGTTAACGACACCTCGAAAGTGGTCTGCAAAATGCGGTGCTATGTGCAGAACTGGATGCATGGGTGTGAATACCCATGCAATACGATTCTAGTGCGGACCCAGAAAAGGGTCCTGCATGTTTTTGGTGCGGGTGCGGTGTGATTAGAGCCATACAAAATGTATGGCTCCAATCGCACCACACACAAATCGCATGTGATTTGCACAGGAAAGCAGTGCGGTTCCTGTGCAAATCACATGCGATATACCGCACTGCATATATGTGAACCGGCTTAGGCTTCATTCAAATGGCCGTAAAAATATGCATATATAAGTGATTTTTTAAATGATGGATCTGAATGCAGCTGCGTTGTTTTCAATGGAGCCATTCGCACAGGTGATCATTTACCCATGGAACTTTAAATAAGGCATAACATATTGGTAATAAAATATAAAAATTTATTAAACAATGAATGAGAATCTCATACATACATATGAGAGTTCTTTAAAATACCAAGCTGGTTTGTTTGTTACAACTAACATAACATTAGTATAAAGTGTGCATCAAACTGATATAGTTTTTTATATATACAGTACATGTTCCACACAGCCAGACTACTAAAACATAACAAAATGTATCCTATAACTCAACAGATTTCACTAATGTTGCGTCACTTATTCAGGAGTGGATTCCACCAACATACGATCTGTAAACTAAACAACAAATTCACAAAATACAGTAAAGCTCTCCCTAAAATGAGGGGAGTACAATACTATAAATACTATAAATGTAAGTTAGGGACCTTAGATTGTACACCCCTTGAGGGATAAGGACTGATGTGAATGTATAATATATATGTAAACTCTGCGTAAATTGACGGCGCTATATAAGTAACTGTAATAATAATAATAATAATGTCCTTAATAAAAAAAAAACAAAAACTTGCAAACCAGCTTGAAAAAATGATCTAAAAAAAACACCTCCAAATGACGACGTAGTTACTCGTAGTTTACACAGCACAAATAGGCCTCGGTCTTGGTACCAACAAAATATTCCCTAACTACTCTACCACAAGTGAGAGTTTCAAAGGTACAAATAAACCTAAAATATTACCGCTAAGAGAATAAAACAGAACATGGACACAGAGCTATGTCTGAGCCTACAAGAATCTGTTAAGACGATAGGCATTGTTGTCAGGAGTATGAAATGTACAGCAGTAAGCATTTTCTTTTTTTACGACAAAATGTGAAGAGAGCATTAGCCAGCAGTATGTATTATATTGTCCTTATATTGCTAGTCAGCAGGAGACAAAAGATGCTCAAGAGGGAAATAACAACAAATGGGGAATTTTTAGACAGCAAATAAACAAAGAATTTTAAAACCAAATATTTATTATAATTGGAAACACTTGCCCTTCAGAGTATTTACCCCCCTTCCTGACCAGGCCATTTTTTGTGTTACAGCGCTGCGTTACTTTATCGGACAATTGCACAGTCATGCGACACTGCACCCAAATTACATTTATGTCCTTTTTTCCCCACGAATAGAGCTTTCTTTCAGTGGTATTTGATCGCCTGTGCATTTTTTTTGCGCTATAAAAAAAGAGGCCAAGAAAAAAAACAATATTTTTGACTTTTTGCTATTACACATGTCCAGTAAAAAAATTTTAAAAATAAATTTCGTCATAAATTTAGGCTACATTTTGCTACATGACTGTGCTAAAAAAAAATCCCAATACATGTAAATTAATCGGTTTACATGAAAGTTATAGCGTTTACAAATGGCGGTATGTATACTGTGCTTTTTTTAACATTTTTTATTTTTAGTAGTAATGACAGCAATCAGCGACTTATAGTGGGACTGTGGGATTGCGGCGGACATTCTGACACTGGGGGGAACTGACTTGGTGTCCCTGACATCCCCAGTGACACCAATACGGTGATCAGTGCTAATATAAAAGCACTGACACTGTACTAATGGTACTTTGCAGGAAGGGGTTAACATGAGGGGCGATCAAAGGGTTAATTGTGTGCAATTTTACTAAGTGTGCTGTGTTAGTGCTTCAATGTAAGCACATTGCTTTGCATGGCTGTGCTATGCACAGCCATGCAAAGCAGTGCTCAGGAGCTGACGGGAGAGAACTGTTTTGTTTACAAACAGTTCTCCCCCCTGTCTGAGATGCTTGGCAATCACCGGGTGCCAGATAGTAATTACCGGCCAGAACCCAGTGATTGGCAGCTGTGAATGGTGGCGAGGGTAGGGAGTGCACGCAGCTCGCTTGCACCCCCTACACGGAACTGCAAAATCGCGTATATATACACGTGATTTTGCGCACAGCTGCCACCCAGTAACAGTATATCTGCTGTGGAGCAGTGCTAAAGCAGTTGAAAAAGCAAAACATACCGTGCATATAAAAACATAGTGAAAAATTGGTCCATAGTCATATACATGAAACCACAATGAGATACAAAAGCATAATCATCCATATATAACCCCAACACGTTTCAATTCTTGGTGTGAATCTTGGGATCTGTATCCCAGTAGTGCTTTAGGACCAAAGGTTACATGACATTCATAGTTCCTAGAGGGGAAAGAGCAACCCATAAAACCAATAAGGTTCAGACCACTAAAGCACAAAGGACACCATTATTATTATTATTATTATTATTATACAGTATTTATATAGCGCTGAAAGGTTTGCTCAGCGCTGTACATTATAGTGGGGGACAGAACATACACCATAGCAGTTTCTCACTAGTAGTACAATATGTTGAGCAAAATAGTAGTAAAGCCTCCAGGTCCAGATAGATGAACACCAAGAATACTTGGTAATAAAACAGTCAAGCCATCAACTGGAAGGCTGCGTATGATGGAGGACTGTGAAGCTACAAGAGGAGGCATGCAAGCCATATTGCAAGCCATATCTCCATCAACAGACGAAAAAAACGAACAAATACAGTACATGAAGTGTTGGGGAATGTTTTGAGCAGAAAGGCCACATTTTATGTGTCTGTCCATTTATTCATCTGTTGATAGAGATAAAACTTGTGTGTCTCCTCTTGTAGCTCTACAGTTCTTCATCATACGTAGCCTTCCCAATGGGTACTTGTGACTGCGGTATATATGTAACGACTTCTTGATGCCTGCTCTGTCATCAGTTTATTGCCTGTGTACGCAACAAGATCTGCGCAGACTGTTCACTAGAAGATCACAGAGAAAATGGAGGCCTGGGGATTGAGCTGCAGTGCGGTAAAGTACACTATTGGCATGTTGTCTTAAAGCAGTGGTCGATACATGCTGACAGTGCGGAGACATTCCAGATATGGTCTTGAAGCAAGGTAGAGTTAATTAACTGTATGAACTGATCACAGTGATTTGGCTGGGTCTGCTCTGCTGTTGTATTCTATTTTATTCCCGTTTATTTGCGGGACTGATCCAGCTATCTTTTACTGCCAGCTTTGACTAATCTCTGCAATTAACCGCTGCATATATGCTTTTGCATCTTTCCCTCTCCTCACTTTATGTGACGACA